GTGAAGTGTGCCCTGTGAACTATGCCCTGTGAAGTGTGCCCTGTGAAATATATACTATGAAATGTGCACTGTGAAATGTGCCCTGTGAAGTGTGCACTGTGAAGTATGCCCTGTGAAATATATACTATGAAATATGCACTGTGAAGTGTGCCCTGTGAAATGTAGTCTTCATGTCACTGGCCAAACGAGATGAGCACTGAGAAGCAGCCATTGGCTCTAGCAGCACAGCAGTGATGGGTGACAAGCTGAGATCGGAACAGCAGAGGCAACTCTTCAGGAAGCTCCACTCTACAGTAGACAGAGAAAGGGGTGGTAGCTGGGGGAAGCCATATGGTGGGGAGGGTTATTTTGTTTGGTTGGTTTTGGTTTTTATATTAAGGTGAAGATATTACAGCACATTTATGTGATTATGTGAATGATCCTACAGATTGAATCAGCAGGGTAATGACAGACTCAGTTAAATACCAATTACTAGATAAGAGTAGCACACCCTCGGTCTCCCTAGGGAAACTCTGTTTCTCTGCAGCCACATTTTATTTCTTGGAAAATTCCGAAGTGTGTCCTCATCTGTCCCACTCTCCACACTCTTCTCAGTAGCTTCCTCTTCCTGACTTCATTGCATGTGACCTGTAGTCACCTAATGAGAACGGCAGCTGGGCTGGGTCATTCCAGACCTTGTCTTCCAAGCTTCCCTCCCACCTGGCAGGGCCACTGAGGTGTGGGCCTGGAGCCAATGGCCTGAGTGGGAATCCCAGCTCCTCCAGACCTGAGTTGTGCGGCTTGAACAGGTTGCTTGGGCTCTCTGTGCTTCCATTTCCTCATCTGCAAAACGGGGATAATGGCACTACCTACCTACCTCATCGTTGTGAGGAAAATGTTTAAAGCACTGAGAACAGTGCCTGGCACCTACTACGCGCTCTGTGAAAGCTTTAGTTGTTGTTAATGCAGAAGGTTGCACTTGGAGCAGGGTTTCTAAGACTCCGGTGGCTGTGGGGCTGTAGGAAGTGTAGGGACCAGTGTGCCAGAGCTAGTCTATGCTAGGAAACTTCTAAATAAGGGCTATCCCCTCCATCTCATTTTGCTTGTTGAAGCCCTTAAATAATTTAGTGGGAGGTGGGGGGAAGCAACATCTCATAGTGGGAAGATGTAGATATTGTCCAGTTCGACCTCCAACTCCATTCGAAATTCCAGCCATTGGGGATGCCTGGGTGGCTCAGTCGGTTAAGCTTCTGCCTTCTGCTCAGGTCATGATCCCAGCGTCCTGGGATCAAGCCCCATGTTGGGCTCCTTGCTCAGCGGGGAGCCTGCTTCTCCCTCTGCCTGCCACTCCCCCTGCTTGTGCTCACTCACTCTCTCTCTCTCTCCTTCTGATAAATAAATAAAATCTTTAAAAAAAAAAATTCCAGCCATTGAAGTTCTTACCTCCTTACATACCTCCTCTGCCATGAAGCTCATTACCTCCACAAGACAGCCCATTCCATTCTTGGTCAGCAATCCCTGTGAGAAAGTTTTCCCTCACAGTGAGCTAAAACTGCCTCCTTATGATTCTCCAAGTGTCACCTTTGCTTCCCCCTCATCCTGATCAAGCACCACTCTCTGGGGTCATAAAAAGGCTACTTGCCTCCACCCTATACCGTGGCCCTATACCGTTGTGTCTTTTCTTCTTCAGGCTGTGGCCCAAGCCTCTGGAAACCTGACATGGTTTCACGCTTAAACAAGAATACCCACCCATGGGGTTTTAACATTGCCGGCTGCCAAACCATATCTCTATTCTCAGTCTGCATTAGAGGAGCTTGAGTGCAAGACGTAATCAGTCAGAGTTACTGGCTCAGAAAACACCAAAGTTCAGGGTTCGCCCTGGCTTCAGGCAGAGTCTGATCCAGCAACTCAAATAATGTTATCCAGGACCTCGTTTCTATTGTCTTCTTTAGGCTCTATCTGTAGCCCCCAGCATCTCTAAGCGGTCTCCTGGGAGTCACCAATGACTGTCACAGCTCCCCACCTCATCCTCACACCTCACCACGCAGGGAACAAGCGCGTCGGTGCGTCTCATTGGCTACCTGTGCAGGCCTCAGTGAATCACGGTGGCCAGGGGCGGGATCATGCTAATTAGTGTGGGGAGGGGCCATGTGTCCCGCCCTCCTCTGAGCAGATGCGCTGCTTTTCATAGGGGTAGGTGAGCGGGTGAAGCACCTGGGTGGCAGTTGGGGGCGCTGTTACCCATGGGGAGGGGAGGTGCTGGGTGGCCACAGGTGGCCGATGCCCCCGCCGAGTGCAGTCCTGCAGATCCCCTCTTGCTCGGCTCAGCAGTCTTTGGGACACTGAATCCACCTGACAAACCCTGCTAGGACCCTCTGCAGTGCCTCGTCCCCGTGTCCCAATCCCTCTGGAACAGCAACTTGGTTTCCCTGACATGCCTGCGGCCAACACCAATCCTGGCCAAGCTGGCTCCTCTGAATACTCACAGAGGCCTGATCAAGAGAACTCAAGCAGAGACGGGAGGACCTCCGAGGTCACTGGCTCCAGTGGCCCACCTGCAAAATGGGGGCCAAGTCCCACTCTCAGTTCCTCATTGGCAAGGCTGGGGTTGGAACCAAGGATCCTGTTTCATCCACCGTGTTGTATGGCTTATACCTTTACAGTAGTCTGTGTGGGCGAAGACTGGCCGGTGACTCCAAAGAGCGACTCCTGAACTGAGCAGAAGGGTCCTTGTTTTCCAGTAATATTTGGTCCTGGGAAATCCACTGAAATGAATCTGCATAAAATAGGACCAAAGAGAGTAACATGTGTCAGATTTGATTGAGGCTTTAACTTGAAAAATAAAACCAAAATGTATGAAAGTGAGTTTATTGTACTATTTCATTAATAAATCCAGGTCATGTTTTCAACTACTCATTCTTTTTTTTTTTTTTTTGATTGTAAACTTTATACATAGCATAAAAGTTACCATTTTAGCTATTTTTTAGTGTGCAGTTCAGGGGCACTAAGCACATTCACACTGTTGTGCAACCAGCCCCACCATCCATCCACAGAAACTTTTCATCTTCCCAAACGGAAACTTCGTCCCCAGTAAGCACTAACTCCCCACTCCCGCCTCCCCCAGCCCCTGGCGGCCACCGTCCTACTATCTCCAGGAATTTGACTGCTCTAGAGACCTCATACAGTGTTTGTCCTTTTGTGACTGGTTTATGTCACTGAGCATAATGTCCTCAAGTTTCATCCATATTGTAGCGTGTGTCAGAATTTTCTCCCTTTTTAAGGCTGGATAATATTCCATTGTTTGTAGAGACCACACTTTATCCATTCATCCATCAGTGGACACTTGGGTTGCTTGTACCTTTTGGCTCTTGTGAATAATGCTGCTTCGAACATGGGTGTAAACATCTGCTTGAGTCTCTGCTTTCAAATCTTTTGGGTATATACCCAGAGGCATTTTGCCAGATCACATGGTAATTTTCATTTTCATTTTTCACTCATTTTTTAAAGTAATCTTCATGACTGCAGCGCAGCGCACTTATTCTTAGATATAGACTGTTTCTGAGTTGATCATATTCCTTTTGGAATAATTTTTTTCCAGCAAAACTGTATGAAAATACAATGGTGCGTCCTTAACTTCATGTTTTCTTATTTTTGCAGCTTAATCATGAGGAGGGTCCCTTTTGCAAAAATATTTGAGACTCTAAGGGCTTTTCCCAGTCCTCCAAGTCCTCTTTTGATGCTCCTGGCCCTTCCTAATCCTGTTGGTTTTGTCTTACTCAGGTGTAGACTGGTCCAACTCCGCCACATCCCCACGATCAGCGGTTCTGCTCTAATCCCACGGTTTTCCAGGATTCCCTTCGCTGATATCCCAAAGCCTCTCCTTTTCCAGGATGTGCAGTTTTATTTTACAGACCCTTTGTGTTGGGTTGTTATGTCTGATAGTCAGAGAGAGATGAGGCATGACGATTTCTGAAGAGAGGAGAGACAGATGTTGGTGTACAATGAGGGAGAAGGGAAGGACCAGTTTTAACAAGCAGTAGTTCATTAGTGAGTGTCTTCGTGTTATGAGAGATTCGTGTTCATGTTTTCCTTGACCTTGTAACTGCAGTGACATGGAAAATGAATATTCAAAAAGTGAGGACCTTAGATTATCAAGAAAATTGATTGATGAGGCTGAAGTAGGTCCTCCAAAGCCCAAAGAGGAGAGATACTTTCGATTTTAATGCAGTTAAAAGTAACTGAAACAATTAAGACTTTTTTTAAAAAAGCTCACCCGTAATAAGAAGCCCAGAGGTGGGTCACTCCAAGACTAGTTAACTCAGCAGCTGAAAGATGTCAGGGCTCTTGTTTAACTACTCTATAATTCTCTCAGCCATTCCCTCTTGGTCACAAGATGGCTGCCATAGCTTCAAACATCATATCCACATGATAATGTCCAAAGCCAGGAAGGAAGGGCATTTCCTTTCCCGATCTCCTTTTTATAAGGGATACAAATCCATTCCAGAGCTCCTCAGATTTTGCCTTTAGTCTCATTGCCTAAAATTGGGTTACAGCCGGTGCCTTCGCTGCAAGAGGTGCTGAGAGAGTGAGTGTCTGTCATAGAAGGTTGGCTCTAACATGCTGGCCGCTGGGTAGGGAGTCAGTAGGGTCAACCGCAGAGACAATCCAGGGTCTTCTTCGGGCACATCATACACAGCTTACCTGTGCAGAGTAAGCAGTGGAAGAGAGTGGGCCCACATCCCACACTCTCCTGCAGGAAGCCGGCCGAGCCCCCTCCTCCCTCTCAACACCTGTGTCTTCTCCCCTGCCCACAGGTCAGAGGGCACCCAGCCCCCAATCTCGTCACAAGCCAGCCCAGAGCCAGAAGCCAAGAGTGGTGACCCTGCGGACAGTGGGACCCGAAGCCCAGACAGCCCTCCAGAGGGCGCCTGGCAGTCAGACAGCGGTTCCAGGAGCGGACCCCTGGACGAAGGTTTGTCCCCGCCACGCTCAGGCTGCTGCCAGGCTCACGACTGGCCAGCTGTGCCAGGCCCCATTCCCCCAGCTGTCCACACCGATGCTGCCATCCAGCCTCCAAACAGAACCCCACTCCCGCTGTGTGCTGAGGCGGGGCTTGCCAAGTAACAAGGGCTCCGTCCTTAGGCCGGGGAGGGAGTACAGACACCTGGTGGGAGAAGGCGGTTCCCAGGGATAGGTCCCAGCTCAGCGTGGGAAAAATCTGTCTCCTTTCAGTCCCGTGCAGGGACGGGTTGGGTGCCCACGGAACTGAGGTGGAGTGAGCACCCCATCATCAGAGGTGTGTAAGCAGGGACTGGATGGACACCCCTCAAGAAGACCACAAAGAGGCCCATCGGCTCAAGAATCGGGGCCTGGTGGGTGTGGAACTGTCATGTGGAAAGAGGAGCAACGCTGGCTGAGGGGTGCCCAGTGCTCTCCAGGCTCAGTCATGGGCAGGTGTGGGGGCTGCTGGGCACCATCCTTCCCGTTCCTTTTCAGAGCGCCTCGCCTGCCCCTGCCTGGGGCACCAGGACAGTATTAATGACCGTGACGACAATGATGCCACACACATACATACATGTACATACACACACACGTACACACACAGCGTCAGGAAACTGCCAGGATGAAAAACAAATGGTCAACACTGGGAATGCAATTCACACAACCAAAAAGTCAGGGACCAGTCCCCTCAACCCTGGTTCTGTTTGGTCTGGGACAGTTTCTACTGAACCAAACAGAAGGGCCCTGAGCCCACCCAGCTGGGACAGTCAGGCTGGAGAGATGGGTGTCCCAAGTCAGGAGACCTGAGTCAGTGGTTCCCAAACCTACCAGGTGGTCAGGATCACCCAGGAGCCTTTTAAAAATGCAGAGGCCCAGGCCCACCCCAGCTCTGCTGCTTATGATTCTCCTCTCCCTCTGCAGGGGAGGAAGACACAGCTTTGTTGCTCAGAACACTCTCTGTCCGTGAGGATCAGGCCATTGTCACTGTCAGACTGGCTTGAATTAATGAAAAAGTCCACGTAGGCTTCAGGCACAGCCAGGGTGTCATGGAACTTCATCTCTTGCTGCCTTGTGCAGAAGGTGCTCCCCTCAGACTGACCAGACAGCCCCCACGAGCTGCAGACCCACACCCTCCAACTCCCAGGCCAGAGGAATGGCGGCTCTTCTCTTCCCTGGAAGTTTGACTCGGATTTTGGCCTGGCTCTCTTTGGCTCACGCTGGGTCCCCTGCCGTGGCTGAACTCGTCATGTGGCCAGGCTGTGTGCACTCTGCCTGGCCAGGCTGGACTCGCGTGTGCCCTGGGCTGGGGTGGAGCGGGGAGGAGAGGGAGGGCTTCCTCTGAAGAGATGGTAAGGGGCTGCCCCCCACACACACACCCCCGAGATGGAGGCCGACGCTGGGCGGCCAGCCCCCGGGGGTTTCCAATGCGCAACCAGACCAGAGTACCCCAACCAGACACGGCCACGTTGGGGATCACACAGAGTCACACGCGTGACAACCCTTCCCTTGCAGGAGAGGCGTGCAGCTCCCTGAGAGCTGAAAATCTGTTCAACCTGGTGCCCATGCCCTGCAGAGCCCCGACCCCTGCCCTGTGGCTCCCCTGGCTGGGACTGTCATATCCTAAAATGGAAATAATATGACCCTCTGAGAGCACAGACAGGCCCTGGCTAGTTGTGTAGTCTTGGAAAGCAGAGAAGAGAAAGGGCTTCTTGCTCCCAGGGGCCCTGTGTAAAACCCCAGGGAGGGGCTCCAGTTGGCCAGTCTGGGCCAGGCACTGGGGAGAGGACCCAGCAGCCTCGGTGGCCTCACCTTGCAGGGACGGGGAGTGCGGGAGAGCAGCTATCTGGAAAAAGGGGTGATGGTGCCAGAGCCTGTCCCGTCTGCGGGGCCCACCGCATGTCCCCCTGGGGAGGGCTGCCTGGTTCCCTCCCTTTGGCCCTGGTGCCGGCATCCCGTGCTTCTCCAGCAGTGGACGGGCAGCTGTTCCGCTCAGTGGAGGGCCAGGCCGCCTCCGACGAAGAAGAGGAGGGTGAGGAGAAGTGGCAGGAAGAGCAGAGGTCACTGGCAGAGGTCAAGACGTTGCTGGCAAGCCTCTCCAGCTGCAGAAGTGGGTATGTGCGCTGGGGGGGGGCGGTGGGGGCGCAGGGCTGGGATCAGCGCTGGAGGCCCAGAGCCCCTTCTCAGAACTTGGCCTTGGGGACCTGATTCAAATCCAGGCTGGGTCACCCCCAGCTCCCTGGCCACTCTGGCCCCTGGCCCACGGGAGGGAAGTGAGAAGATAGCCCCCCAGCATGTGCAGGGATAAAATGAGGTGACTGACAAAGTCACCCTTTGTGGGGAGCTTTAATTCCCATTGGTTTCCTCCCACTCCCCTGGCCACCATGCCAAGACATGACCCAAAGCTCTAGTGTTACTCCAGGACATATCAGACCCTTCCTTGCCCCATTGCTCCTGCGAGAAACAGCGCTTACAGGGCCCCCTCCAGCTGACACCCTGGCTTATTTAATCCTCACGACCACCCTGGAGGGAAGAAAGACCCAGATGCCTGGGGCATCTCAGACAAGTCGCCTGACTTCTCTGACCCTCAGCCTTCTCGTCTCTAAGATGGGCCAGTAACACTTGTCTGGCAGAGGTTTTTCTGAAGACTTGCTAACGAGGCTATAAGATGCCTAACAGGTGCCTGATCCCCGTAGGTTCACCATCGGGGGGCGGCATTGACTTTCATTATATTGTACCGTGCTGTCAATTTTCCCGGGTTATTGTTATCACCGATCCTTAAGTCAACAAGCATTTTAATAAGCACCTACTACGTGCCTGGAGGCACTGAGAGAACAGCAGTAAGCAAGACAGCACCCCCACCTCCTGGAGCTCCTATTCTAGTGAGTGGTGACAAGTGTGAGGAAGAAAGGTGAAGCAGGGGAAGGGACAGGGGGGTGAAGGGAGATGCTGGGAAGGCCACTCTAAGAAGGTGCCATGTGAGCAAAGACCTGAAGGACACGAGGGAAGTGCATTCCAGGAGGAGGGAACAGCAAGTGCAAAGGCCCTGAGGCATGTTGGAGGGGCAGTGAGGGGGCTACTGGGGCTGGAGCACAGTGAGTGAAGAGGAATGGGAGGGAGGTCAGAGAGATCGCAGGGGCAGATTGCGGGAGGCCTTTGGCTTCTCCTCGGAGTAAGACAGGGAGCCATGGGAGGGTACTGAGCAGGGGGTGCCATGGCCTGGCTTAACTTTCCGGAGACAGACTCAGTGGCAACACCCACATTGTGAGGCTGAAGCAGACTCTGCAGAGCCGCTCCACAGTGCTGGTGCTCTCCTTTGCTGCAGGTGTGATGACCAGACAGCCAAGAAGCTCATGACTTACTTCAGCCACTTTGGCAGTGGTGACCATGCCTGCACCCTGGGACAGCTGGAGGCCCGCATCACCATGCTGGTGGAGCAGCTGGGGACCCACGGCTGCCATAGGAAGGCCCTGGGGACACCTGGGGAGGAGGTCAGCTGAGCCCCAGAGATTGAGGTCTGGACCAATGCTAGAGTCTCTCTCATAGCTGGAAGAACCCTCGAGGCATGTCAGCCAAGTCCTGGGCCCTGTTCACAGATGAGCAAACCAAGACTCAGAGAGGAGATGCGACTTGCTTTGATTTAGATTTAATGAAGAATATTTGGGTTGCAAGTTAACGGAATTATAAACAGGTATTTATTAGAATATGGAGCCGGCAAGAACAGCTTCAGAAGAACAGCCAAGGAAATGAGCTTCAGGAACAGCTGGATCCAGTGACTCAGATGAGATTGTCTCCACCTACCTCTATCTGCTCTGGGTTTCTCGGGTGCTGGCCTCATTCCCCCTACTTCAGAAGGGCTTCCTCCATGTGGTGATGAAAGGGAAGGCAAGACCACAGACAGCTCTAGGCTCCCATTGCCCCACCTAAGAAAGCCCAGGGGGATAAGAGCCCAATATATTACATCTCAGCGAAGAACTCCAACTGGCCCAGCCTCGGTCCTGTGCCTGTCCCCGGGCCAATCCCTGTGGTAGGCAGGCAGGGTTTAGGGATTAGCAACTCCATCAAAGTCAGACAGGGGGGAGGAGGGACACTTCTCCCCAGGAAGGTTACTGAGGGTAATGGGAGGGAGCTAGAAGGCAGCACCAATAGCGGGGTGTCCCCGTTTCAATAAGACCACTTAGCATGTTTTTCTCATCTCTCGACTCCATTGCACAGTAATCAAATGCGGAGTGCTATTGAGAGTTACCATTTCAATAAGCCCTAGCCCACTGCGCTTTTGAAAACTATGGTTTTGATCTAAGATAGTTTTCTATTTATACACCTGAAATTCTAAATCCATACTGTTTTTGACATATCTGTGGTCTGATGTGGTTCCAAAGGGCATGGCCATCACCCCTTTTCTAAGTGAATTCCAAGGAAGTGGGGGGTTGGAGGAGTTACTGAGGCACGTGAGTGGTGTCCCCGAGCCCCCCTTCCAGTCCCATCTGCAGTGGGCACTGGCACCATGCCTTCTCTGTCCTGCCCGAGGCCCAGAGTGTCCAAGGGCACCACACGTTCAGCTGCTCCTCTTTCCCTCCATCGATGCCAAGAATAGGAACTGCCTTACTCCCAGCATCCCTGCTTTAGAAGGCAAGTAGCCATGTGATGCTTTGTGACTGCCTGGCATCTGCCCTGTGGTGGGTATCCTGGTAGGACTCATGGTCTCAGTGCTCCCCTGGCCAAGGGTGGGTCATGACTCACGCTGGCCCAATTGGGCCCCCTCCCGGGGCTCTCCATCTTGAGGGAAGTGGGAGAGTGTCTGCAGAGTGTCCCCAACTCTGACCCCTGGACAAGTGGCTTGAGACTGTCCTACCATCTCAATCCCCATCGCTGCCCCATCCCTGAGTTTCTCCAGCTGCCATTCTGTTCTGGGAATGACCCAGAGCCTGCCAGTGAATTCTCTATTTAACTAGCCAGATAGGTTTCTCTTACTTGCAACCCCCCCAAAAAAATGTATTAAAAAGAAAAGAAAGCAGATGGATGGAGAAGGGAAAATGGAGTCCTCGACTAGAAAACAAAATATGCATATTCGTACATTAACACAATTCACTGTGTGACCTTAGGCCACGCATGCAGCCTCTCTGGGCCTTGGTGCCAGCACTGGAAGATGGGGGACTTTACCTGCCCAGTCACCTGGCAGGCCGGGGGCGGGGGGGTGTCAGATGAGATGACCTCTATGAAAGGGTCAAGGCAAGTCATGGGCCCTGCCTGGAGATGGCGCAGTGAGTGCTGGGCAGAGGGCAGCAGGGTGGGTGCTGAGTCCCCATTGGTCCCCGCAGGCAGAGCTACAGCAGAAGGTGGAAGAGAATGAGCACCTGAGGCTGGAGCTACAGATGGTGGAGACAGAGAGGGTGCGGCTGTCCCTGCTGGAGGAGAAGCTGGTAGACGTGCTGCAGCTCCTGCAGAGGCTCCGGGACCTGGTAGGCTCACGGGCACTGGCACACCCAGGCAAGGGGAGGGGCTCTCAGGAGGGAGCACTGGCCTGCGTCAGGCACCTTGGCTCGGAGCTCTCCTCACATTAGGCAGGTGTCAACTCCACTTTCCAGATGCAGAAAAGGAGGCTCAGGGAAGTTAATTAAAAAGAAGAAAAGGCTTCTCTGTCCTGCCCAAGGTGCTATTATTCATTTTATAAAGCTGATATAACTTTGATTTCAAAACCAGAGAAGGATAAATATAAGAAAGGAAAATTATAAGCTAATGTCACATTGAAACATGGATACAAAATATTAAATAAGATATTAGCAAACCAAATCCAGCAGTGTTTAAAGAAATGCAACACAACCAACTTGGATTCAATCCCAGTAATCCAAAGATAATTCAAGATAAAAAAAAATCTATTAACATCATATGCCACATTGCAGATTAAAGGACAAAAACCATATATTTATCTCAATAGATATAAAAAAGTCAGTCAGCCTCCTTTTATCATAAAACCCTTCAGCAAATTAAGAACAGTAAGGACCTTCCTTTACCAGGTAAGGAGTCTCAGCCAACTACTTCTCACAAACCTCACACTTACTGGTGAAATGTTAGAAGGAATGCTTCTAAAGTGAGAATCAAGACAAGCATGCATGTCATCAATGTTTGTATGCCAACTAGAGGTTCTAGCCAATGCAGTAAGACAAGAAAAAGAAAGAAAAGGATTAGACAGGAAGACACAAAGCTATCAGTGATTATATATCATCTATATAGAATACCCAAGAGAATCCAGAGGCAAATTATTGTAACTTCTTGGCAAGGTAAATAATAAAATATCAGAACACAGAAGTGAATTGTGTTCCTAAATAACATCAGCAAACCATTAAAAAAATATTTTTTTGAGAAACCATTAACTTAGGATTACAGCTCCTATAAGGTGGAAGTAGGATTTGAACCCAGGTTGCCTGGGTTTTAAGTGGGCTCTTGCCTATGCACCAGACTGCCTAGGACACAGAACTACCAAGGCCAAAGCCAGGGCAGCACAGCCTGAGAGAATGGCAGAGTGGCAGCCAGTGCCAGCAGATAGCAAAGGTGGTGGTTACCACTACAGCTCCAGACCATGCAACCTGGGGGTAAAAGCTGGTTCTTCCACCTCCTAGCTGGATGACTTTAGGCAAATTTCTCATTCTTTCTCAGCACTGCTTCTCTTCGCTGCTTAAACTGAGCCTAATAATATCAGTTGTTGCAAAGATTAAATGAGCTAATGCATAAAAATGCTCTTATTCATGTTTATTTCCAAAGTGCCAACTTCTACTTTGGCACATAAATGGTAATCCATAAATATGTGATCTTTGATGGAAAGGATGCTGCACCCCACACTATCCACCCACCAAAAGTCTTTGGGAAGACCATCAAGCAGTGTGGCCAGGCTAAGGGTAGGGGCCCAGGAAGGGATGGGGGTAATAACTCTATGTGCCCCCAGAGAGCCTTACAGAAGAAGCCTTTGGGGGCCACCAAGTCCCACCTGCTGAACAGGGACGTGGCAGCCACAGTACAGTCCAGCCCTGTCTCCATTTCTTTTTAAGAACATATCGAAAAGAGCCCTGGGGAAGATTTTGCTGAACACACTGGATGCTTGCAAGGACCCCACACACGGTAGGAGAACTCCCCCATCTTTCAGAGCCTGGAAAGCATCTGGAGAGCAGCCTGCCCAGCACTCTCTGTCCTGAGTGTCTTGATTGCAAAATGCCACTGTCATGACTGCCCTGACCACCCGCAAAGTGCATAGTCAGGAACAGGCTTCAGAAAGTTAAAAATGCTATTCAATGTCCCAGGGAGAAGAGCTAAGCAGAAGCCGGTGTGGTCAAACCCCCAAGGGAGGTAGGCAAGGTTCTCTGCTGTCAGTTCAGACACTGGGCTGAGTGTGGGCCAGGCTCTGTGGAGGTGCCTCATGTGGTTTTAACCCCCTGAGTCATGACAACAGCCCACTGGAGAAGGCTCTGTGATTGTACCCATTCCACAGATGGAGAGACTGAAGCAGAGAAAGGCCAAGTGCCAGCTGTAACCAGAGCCTTGGGTCTCTCACTTAAGCACTAAGTTACATGGCCCCCATTGTTCAGACAAAGTTGAGGGCAGTAGGATTTCATCAGTGCCAGATTGTGGCTGGTGAAATCAAGAGGAGCCGGGCCAAGCATTCTGCTCAAAGGGCCTCACAGGCTAATGGGGCAACCAACTGGTGATGAGCCTTTGCTCGCTGGTCTCACAGGGCATTGCTGGGCAAGGCTCAGGTAGGTCGAGTGCCCTGAATGGTCCCTGGAATTGAGAGGGAGGTCAGAAACCTTCTCTGGCATCCTCAGTGAGAGAGAGAGACAAGAGGGGGAGGTAGCTGGGCAGGACTGGGGAGGGCCCCAGAAAGGAGGAAGAGTGGCTATGTGGGCCACAGTGAGCAAACTGAACTGCCCTCACTGTCCATTCTTTCCTTCCAGAGGGGATATCTGGACCCTCGGCCATCCTGGATGCCCTGCACCAAGCTTTGGCTGGCTGTGAACTCCTGCGGAGAGAGCTCTCTGCACCAGCCTCCACAGCTCCTGCACTCACCAACCCCCTCCTCATCTCCTGCTGAGGTCACTGGCCCAGCCTATGGGCACCTTGGTCAGCCTGACCTCCATCAGACCAGCCTCCAGATTAGCCTGACCACCACCAGACCAGGTTCCATAACCAGCCTGACCACCATCAGATGAGCTTCCATGGCTAGCCCAACCACCATCACATCCTTAGAACCCTGGAGACCCTGACTCCTTCTGAGACTGGGCTCAATCCCAGAGCCTCCCACAACAGAGCCTGGCAAACATCCTTTCCTTGAGTTCCTCCCAGCAGCCCCTGCATTCCTGCTGCCACAGTTCACATTCAAGCCCTGGGGCTGCTGGATCAGCCCATACCTGCTGTTGCCTCCCCTGTCCACTTTCTTACACAGCCCAGCCCAGAATCCCTTCCGTGGTCTTCTGGGGTCTTTTCCCCTCCCAGCACTGTCCCCTTCCTCTCACTGCTGTACCCAACCTCCAGGCCACACCTGGCCCACTGGGGAATTCCCACACCCCCAGAAGTGTTGAAGACCAGGCAGGGCTGGGGGAACACAAGGCGGGGGTGATTACTGCAAGCTTCTGGATGGAAGCTGCCCTTGAACTAGCTCTAGAAGAGTGGTAGGATTTAGACAGAGAGAGGAGGGAAGGGCATTTAATGTGAGGAAACAGCAAGAGCAAAGTATGGTGCCAGAAAGAGCCCCCATTAGTACAGTACCTGGGACACCTCTTTCCCAAGCATATAGTGGGTACTGGATTTCATGGGGTCACAGGAAGGAGTAAGATAAGCTGCCTGGTCTCACCTACCTTAACATCTCGTAGGAGAGAAAGATACACTGGCAAATAGTGTGACATGGGTGAAATCAGCGCCAAATCAAGGTAAAATATTTGCAAGAGTCCAGCCAAGAGGAGTTCATCTGAGCCAAGGAGGATGGATGCACCACAGAGGGGAACTGAAGGGACGAGGGCAGGTGCCTGGAGGGACAGTAGCAGGTCATGGGGGGGCTCGATGGCAGACGAGGATCTGGGACTTGCTCCCACAGGCAATCGGGAGCCACTGGAGGATTCTGAGCTGCCTCATGGAGGGGAGTGAAGAAGAGGCAGCTGCAGGACTGTAGGAGGAAGGGGGCACTAGGAGCCTGGAACCAGAGCTAGGGGACACAGAAGGGGATCATGGGAGGAGGATCAAGGGGTACCCAGTGGGGAGTCTGGGAGCAGTGGGCACTCCGGGGCAGGGCAGCAGGGACTGGGGACAGACAATGCCTGACTGGCATTCCTGACTTGTCTGGCCTCAAACACTCAGCAGCTTGGATGGGGGCAGGAGGCATCAGGGAGCCACTGCATGCTCCTGAGTAGAGTGACACAGGCCCCTACCCAATCTCCCTATGGTTCCTCTGGGAATGGAATGAAAGAGACCAAGGCCAGGGGCCATTCCAGAGGGGCCACGCTACCCTTGGTCCTGTCAGATGGGCCAGACTTTTTTGAGAAGGTCCCCAGGACTCCTCATGGGCCAGTGGACAGGGCTGGGCACTGAGGAGGCTGGTCTGAGCAGAGAGGGCTGCCCCAGCTTGCTCCTCTCAGCTCAGCCTGAGCCCATCAGGCCCTCCTCCTCTGGCTGTGCTGCTAATGACTACATGACCCAGGTGAGGCCCACCTGTGTCCCTGCCCAGTAAGAAGGGTCAGCTGTTCCATATCCTGACCATGGTGTCAGTCACGGGAATCTACACATGTGTTAAGATTCATAGAGGGGCGCCTGGGTGGCTCAGTCGGTTAAAATACGACTGCCTTTGGCTCAGGTTGTGATCCCAGGGTCCTGGGATCGAGCCCTGCATCAGGACTCCCTGCTCAGTGGGGAGTCTGCTTCTCCCTCTCCCTCTACGCTCTCTCTCTCTCTCACTAACTCTCGCTCAAATAAGTTTAAAAAAAAAAAAGATTCATAGACCTATGGGGCACCTGGGTGGCTCAGCTGGTTGAGCAACCGACTCTTGAATTCGGCTCGGGTCATGATTTCAGGGTCGTGGGATGGAGCCCCACATAGGGCTCCACACTCAGCGGGGAGTCTGCTTGAGATTCTCTCTCCCTCTGCCCCTCTCCACCTGCTCTCTCTCGCTCTCTCTCCCACTCAAAAAAATAAAGTTTTTTAAAATTTTTAATGAAAATAGAAAAAGATTCATAAACCTGGAAGCTCCCCTCAAAAAAAGCCAACTTCACTGTATGTTAATAAAAAATAAGAGGGACCAGAAGAGATATTCCTGGAGTTCCTCCAGCTCTAGGCACCTGGAATCTTCAGACAGGCAAAGAGGGCTCCTGTAGGTTACAACTACACTAAGCTTCATCCTCAAGATTTCCCTCCTGTAGGTTACAACTACACTAAGCTTCATCCTCAAGATTTCCCTAAAATCTTTTCTTAGCAACTGTCCAACCATCAGTGGTTCATCACCACACTTGTAGGCCCCTCATCAAGTTGAGGTGGATTAGGATATGGAAATACCCAGCATCACACAGCAAATCAGCATCCAAGCCTGGAGAGGGGCCTGTTTTCTGCCCACATCTCTTGCAGTTTTCTACCACAGCCAGCTGTCTCTGGCTAGGAAGCTCTGGGCTCGCTAAAGGTTTGGGGTCTGGACTAGTTATGGTACAGGTTAAACTGCCTTGATAAAGAGACCCCAAAATACTCTGGGTCAAATAAGATATAACTTAATGTCCCTGCTGTAAGAGTCCAGAGGTGAGTGGTCCCCGTTGGCAGAGCAGCTCTGCTCTATGTGGTCACCCAGGGATCCAGGGATCCATTCCACTTTGTTGCTTTGGCATTCCCTGGAGTCATATCCTCCCTTGCACAGTGGAAGCCAATTCATCAGCACTGCATCTGCCTTCCAACCCACAGGAAGGAGGAGAGGGAAAGGGAAGGAAAGGCGCTCTGGCTCACAAGGCTTCTACTCACAACCCGTTGGCCATGCCTAGCTGCAAGGGAGGCTGGGAGATGTAGTCTGTGGCTGAGCAACAATATGCCCAGTTTCTTTTTTTTTTTAAGATTTTATTTATTTGCGAGAGAGAGAATGAGAGACAAAGAGCATGAGAGGGAGGAGGGTTAGAGGGAGGAGGGTCAGAGGGAGAAGCAGACTCCCTGCTGAGCAGGGAGCCCAAAGTAGGACTTGATCCCGAACTCCAGGATCATGACCTGAGCCGAAGGCAGTCGCTTAACCAACTGAGCCACCCAGGCGCCCAATGTGCCCAGTTTCCAGTCCAGCATGTAAGGAGCTTGGAAGTCACCAGTGCATCCAATGACAAGTAAAAAGGTGAACAAGCTGAAAATTCAACAACTCCTCTTAGATCCACGAGAGAAGTGAGGTTGCAGGACAAACGGCCCTCCCCAAAATTGGAAAGACAGACTGGTGAATGTGAGAATCACAACTTGCCAGAGAAGAACCCACCTTCTCAGGAAACAGTACCAGAATAGGACAAGCTGAACTGTAATCAACAAATTGGTGGAGGCTCAGTATGGACAAGTATATAGAGTTAAAAACCCTAGGGGGACCCAGTCATGGGGGGGGTGGGGTCCCACACCTTTGAGAGTTTTACCTTCTAAAGCTCTACAAGGTCCTCACAGTGAAAAGCAGAGGAAAAAAAACCATCATGCTTCTCACAGTGGGAAGGGAAGTAATCATTTTGAAATATGCCAGACCATTCTGTTTTCCTTAACAAGGCCTGCCCTTAAGAGAAACTATTTTACCAAAGCCTAACCTATTGGGGTTTTATCAGAGTCTATATTAATTTCAGATAGAGCAGACTTCAGAGCAAGGAAAAATTTTGAGGGACAAAGAGAGGCACTACATGATAAAAGGTCATTTCTTGAGGAAGATATAACAATCCTTAATGTGTATGCACCTGACAACAGTGTCAAAATATATAAGGCAAAAACCAGTAGAACTGTGAGTTGAAATAGATGAATCCACTATTATATTTGGAGACTTCAACTCCCCTCTAACAGAAATAGACAGATCCAGCAGGAAGAAAATCAGTAAAAACATAGGTGAACTCAGCAGTACCATCAACCAAATGGATTGAATTAGCATCTATAGACGACTTCATCTAGCAATTGCAGAACGTACATTTTTTTTCAAGCTCACGTGGAATATTCACCAAGACAGACCACATTCTGGGTCATAAAACATACCCTCACAAATTTCAACATATTCTGTATGCTCTCAGACCAAAATAAAATTAAACTAGAAATCAATCAACAGAAATAGGTGGAAAATCCCAGAATATGTGGAAGTTAAACAACACACTCCTAAATAACACAGAGGTGAAAGAATAAATCTCAAGGGAGACTTAAAAATGCTTTGAACTAAATGAAAACGAAACACAATCTATCAAAATCTGTGGGATGCTGTGGTTAAAGGGAAGTTTATAGCATCAGATGCATATATTGGAAAAGCAGATCTAAAATCAAAAATCTAAGCTTCTACCTTAGGAAACTAGAAAAAGAAGAGCAAATTAAATACAAAGTAAGCAGAAGAAAAATAATTTTTAAAAATTAGAGCAAAAATCAATGAAATTGGAAATAGAGAAACAGTAGAGAAAAACAAACTAAAAGCTGATTTTTTGAAAAGATCAATAGACTCAATAAGCCTCTCATCAGGCTAATTGAGAAAAAGAGGGAGAAGACACACATTGCTAATAACAGAAATGAATGAGGAGATATCACTATAAATGAACATTATATGGATAATAAATGAATATTATTACTAACTCTAAGCCCTCAAATCTGATAATCTAGATGAAATGGATCAATTCCTTGAATGACACAATCTGCCAAAACTCGCACAAGAAGAAATATGAATAGGCCTGCATCTATTAAAGAAACTATATCAATAATGAAATAACCTTCCCAAAGAGAAAGCACCAGGCCCAGATAGGTTCACTGGTTAATTCTATCAAACATTTAAGGAAGAAATTCTTCCAATTTTCTACAATCTCTTCCAGAAGATAGAAGCAGAGGGTATACTCCCTAACTCATTCTGAGGCCAGCATTACCCAAATGCCAAAACTAGACAAAGATATTATAAAAACAGAAAACTATG